GTACTAGAAGTAGTATTGGTAGTAGTACTACTACTACTGCTACTATTACTATTGATACCACTACTTCTATTACTACTACTACCACTACTACTACTATCACTACTACTACTACTACTACTACTACTACTACTACTACTACTACTACGACTACTACTACTACCACTACTACTGGTACTTCTACTACTACGACTACTACCATTACTCTTACTAGTACTATTACTACAACTACTGCTGCTACTACTACTACTTCCACTGCTACTACTACTACTGCTACTACTATTGCTACTACTTATCCTACTACTACTACTGCTACTACTACTACGACTACTACTACTATTTCTATTACTACTACTACTACTACTACTACTACTGCTGCTGCTACTACTGCTACCACTACTACTACTACTACTACTACTACTACTACTACTACTACTACTACTACGATTGCTACTACTAGTACAACTACTACGGCGACTAGTAGTAGTAGTAGTAGTAGTAGTAGTACTACTACTACTACTACTACTACTACTACTACTACTACTACTACGACTACTACTACTACGACTACTAGTACTACTACTACTACTACTACTACTACTACTACTACTACTACTACTACTACTACTACTACTACTACTACTACTACTACTACTACTACTACTACGACTACTACTACTACTACTACTACTACTACTACTACTACTACTACTACTACTACTACTACTACTACGCTACTACTACTACTACTACTACTACTACTACTACTACTACTACTACTACTACTACTACTACTACTACTACTACTACTACTACTACTACTACTACTACTACTACTACTACTACTACTACTACTACTACTACTACTACTACTACTACTACTACTACTACTACTACTAACTACTACTACTACTACTACTACTACTACTACTACTACTACTACTACTACTACTACTACTACTACTACTACTACTACTACGGCTACCACTACGAATGCTACCACCACTGCCACTACGACGACCAGTACTAGCACGGGGTCTGGGGCCCCTGCCTGCAACCCCCGCGCCGTGTGGCCCGCGAGGGCATTTTTGCTGCCCGGCCCTCCTCGGAAAAGGCCGCGGGGCGCCGCACCGCTCGGGTCCGCATATGTCGCCCCGGGGCGCTGGGGGCGCTGTGGGCCCGTGGGTCCGCGCGGCTGCGGGCGGCGGGCGGGGCGAGTCCGCGTCGCCCCGCCGTCCAGGCCACGGCTGCGGCTCAACAGCAGGGGGATCAACAATGACATACACATCATAATACAAGCTCGGAGGTCCGCGCGGATTCCTCGGATCGGCGCTGGGACCCCCTGGCGGCGCCTCTGGCGCCGCCCGCCCCTGGCCCTTTCCGCGCGCCATGGAGGGGGGTTCCGATCTGAGAAATCCGCGCCAAGATCCGATCTGTTGCTATGTTTCTGCCACTGTTTGTTCCCCCAGAGAGGGCGATCGACGACGCTTCGCTTTGCACGAGGTCGGGGGAGGAGTGAGGTCACCCGCGGGGGCGCGAAGGGAATCGCGTGTCGCGCAGCGCGGCGTGTGCTGGAGAGGCGCCCTTCTTTGGGGCGGCGGCGCAGTGGAGAACCGCGCGCCGCGCAGCGCGGGGCGCGGTGCGAGAAGTCCGTTGACTTAGAAGGATCCCCAGACACCCTCGAGTTATGTAAAAATCACGGCGGGAGGTTTTTCATTCTTTTCGGTCTCTGGGGGCCCTTACCGTCCCTCGGGACCGTCAAAAACGACTCAGGACGAAAAACCGGTCCTGTGGAATGGGTCCAGACCGCTCGGGGTCGACGTCATGAGAAAGTCATGACGTCGGGGGTCTGGGTCTGAAGTGGTCCTCTGGGGCCCTGGCGCCACACTTTTTTCACAACGGGCGATTCTGCCCTGCTTCGGCACAGATCGGATCCGGCTCGCACAGAGGAGTAGACATGTGGCGTCTGGGGCCCTGGTCGTGAGTTTCAAGATGTTGCCATGTGTTCGCTGCGTCGTGCCGCAGGGTAGGGCTGCAAGCTGCAGGCGTGTCTGCCAGGCTTTGCGGGCCGTGGGCCAGCCAATATCTGTTTGAGCAAAGCTGGAGTCCTTGCCTCGTCGTCCCAGCTGGCGGACATTTTGGCGTCAGAATGTGGCCTTCCCCTCGGGACTCGGGTGGGCGCCACGGGCGGTTCGAGGCGGAGGACCCCCAGCCCCAGAAGTTGCTGGGCTGTTTTCGGCCTCTGGGGACCAACGCCAGGCCCCCCAGGGGCAGCTGGCGATCGAGTCAGCACGAAGAGCTGGTCCTGGAAAAGAGGTCGGGACCTCTGTGGGTTCCACGTGGCGAACATTTCACGACATCGGGGGCATGGGCCGATCAGAAGGAACTCTGCCGATGTCGCGGCCCCTTCCTCCCCGTCCTCCGTTTACGCAGCTTTGGGCATCCTGGAGGGCCTCCACGGCTAGATTCGCTTCGAACTTCTGGTCAGAATGCACCCCAGGAGGGGGTTTGTGGAGTAGCGGTGTCGGTTTCCTTTGTATCCTTGTCGAGGCCCGAGGATTGAGGGTTGAGGGTTGAGGTTCGAGCATCGAGGTCCTGGACATGCTTGTGGTTTGTGTGGGCGTTCTTGAGCGCTCCTCATTGACATTCTTAACGCCTCGCGTACCCCATCGGCCATTCAGAAATGATGCCTAGGTGTACTGTTGGGAGATGGGAAGGCGATGAGCCCAGAGTGGAAGAAGAGGTCGACAGGATAAAACCAGAGGCCTCTGGCAGCCTCTCGGAAGCCTCTTGGAGCCACCTCTGAGCTCGCTTGGGGCCTCTTCGAGAAGCTTTGAGGCCCTCGTGGGGCATCATGGAGCACCTTGCCGGCGCCGCGATTCCGATTCGATTCGATGCAGTTCGACTCGCCGGCCTCGGCCGCGACCGGCCCGAGCGAGCCGCGGAGGTCCGATCTCGATCCGACCTGGGACATCTCTCCGGCGATGCGATCCGTGCCCCATCTGGATCCAACCCAGACATCGGGCGTCTCGAAACAATCGGGACCGAAACGTTTCATAGTTCTCGGCCTCTCGGGGCCCCCACCGGGCCTCGGGACCGTCAAAGAACGACTCGGGATGACAGCCCGGTCCTGGGGAAGTGGTCGAGAGGCGGGGGGCCCGTGTCTCGAGCAAGTCGAGACGCCAGGTGTCTGGGATTTCGCGGCCCGGTCCATTTCAGACCTGCATTTGTGCCGTCTCGGAGGCCATCTCCTACGAGGAACATGCTGGAGTTCTCGCGCGGCGCACCATGACTTGATGTCTAGTCCACTCGTCCGCCCCAGTCAGGCCTGGGACGACTCTCGCGCGGCGACCTTCCGACAATGAAGTCCGACGTGCAAGCGGCGTGAGCCCGACGTAGACCCGACGTGAGTCCGGCAAGGATCCGACGGAAAGTGGGTCTCGGGTTGCCGCGCGAGGCCTCCAGGGTTTCCCCCCTTCGGCTGGCGTGGCAAAGGCAGCGTGCGATGTGGCGCCGCCGGCCCGCTGGTCACACGCTCTCCCCCACCTGGGGGAGCACTAGCGTGCAACAGCCTGGGCCACCCAGGGCCCTCTTGGAGCCACCCCGGGGCCGTCCTGCACATCCTGGGGCCACCGGGGCCCTCCCGGGGCCGCTCCTGGGGCCGCTCCTGGGGCCGCTCCTGGGGCCACCCTACATGGGCCACCCTATGGGACCTCCCTGGGCCTCCAGGAGGCGCCTCTCCCGTCCCGGGGCCCTCCTGCTGGGGACCCTCTAGGAGCACCTGCCCGCTCGCGGCCATCCTCGACGCCCTGCGGCCGCCCCTCGACGCCCTGCCCGCCTCGGCGGCCATCGTCGGTGGCGCCCCGCCGCCGCCCCTCGCAGGCTGCGCTGGGGCGCTGGCGCGGCGCGGGCGCCGCGGCGCAGCCGTGCCCGCGCCGCCGGGGCTGGTGGCGCCCCCGGCGGCAGCAGGCGGCGCGCTGTGCGGCGGGGGTCAGCCACGCGCAGGGGGGAGGGGGCCCAAGCCCCCCCTCGGGTCTCGAAGAAGGCAAAAGCAGATCAATATAATTAAACTTGCGACGCTCCACGCGGATTGCTTGGATCTGCGCTGGGGCCCCCTGGCGGCGCCTCCTGCGCCGCCCCTGGCGCGCTCCGCGCGCCAGGGAGGGGGGCCCAGCGCAAATCCAAGAAATCCGCGCGGACCGTCGAAAATTTGTGTCTAGGTGTTTTGGTTCTCCCTCTGGGGTCACGAACAACAAAAAAACGGCGGAAGGGTTTTCGTTGCTTTCGGCCTCCAGAGGCCCATGCGGGGCCTCGGGGCCATCAACAAGTGGCGCAGGATGAAGGGCCAGCCATCGTGCACGGGAGTGGGTTGAGACTTCTGGGGGTCGACGTCACGGAAAAATCATGACGTCGGGGGTACAGTCAAAAACCCTGATAAGGACGCGCGAGTTTGCTCAGGGTACCCTTGCGTCCTTGCTCTTCCTTGCTCTTGCGTCCTTGAGGTTTTCGTCGTCCGCCGCCCCAAAAATCCCAACTTCGGCTTCCAGGGTCTTGCGTCCTTACCGCGCGTCGTCCTTATTAGGGTTTTTGATTGTATGGTGGGGGAGAGGGGGAGCAAGCTGGGTGCCATCGCGCCTCATCTGACATCCTGTCCCTCCCTCCCATCCCTTCCCATGGCGCTGATTGTTCTCTGTCCGTGGACGCGTGTCATAGCCGACCTGCGGCTCCCACAGAGAGCTGTTTCGTGCTATGCGCAATCGGGGCAAAGAGAACTGCGTGCACAGGAGGAGGAGGAGGAGGAGGAGGAAGTGGCGGGTGAGCAGGAGGATGAGCGGGATGAAAAGGTTGAGGACGGGGGGGGAGGGGGAGAGCCTTTTGGGAGCTTCCCTGCTTCTTAGAAGGCGCGGGCCCTATCTGTAGATGCAGGGCCGGCGCCTTCTAAGAAACAGCCTCCTAGGAAGCCCTCCCCAACCCCCCCTGCCCCCTTTGTGCGCGCCGCCGAGGTCAGCTGCGACTGCCCCCGGGGCTCTCGGCGGCCAGCATGGAAGCAGGACCCAGCGGCATCGGCAACACCCGGACACACTCACACCGTGGGTGCGTTGGCCACGCAGGAGCGGCGCGCACGCTCGGGCATCGTGTCGTGTGAGCTCCGTGGCGGGCGCTTTCTGGCCATGCCGCTCGGGAAATGAGATACTGCGAGCTGATGTGCTGTGTGTGCGGGTCGGACGTGCGTTTCGAGCAGAGGCAGATTTGTACGAGTAGGTCCCCACGCGTCCCACGGCACAAACTCGCGGGAAGAGCCACACTGACCATGACCTAGATGTCGCGGGATCTTGTCGATGTCCAGATCTTGGTCGTGGTCCACGCTAGCCGTCGCCGATTCGCGAGGATTATCCTCGAACTGACGCTGACCAAGAAAGGCGGTGACCGAGACCGACACCCTGTTTCTACGCTCAGTCTTGGTCCTGGTCCCCGTGTCCTTCCCTTCCACCAGCAAGACCCTTCGAAGACCCGCGCGGATTCCTGGGTCCTGGTCTGGGCCCCTGGCGCGCGGAGTCCGCGGACGACCTGTGCGCACTGTAACGCGTTGGCGCCTCTCGAGGCTTCGTCGATCTTCGACCCAGGCCTGGTGCGGTGCATATTTCCTTTTCGGCCCTCGGGGCCGATCAACAAGAGCTGTGCACAGTGCCACGCCGGAGCAAGGCCTGCAGGGAGGCCACACATGGTCCGGGGCATGAGCGCGGTTCTCGCAACCCCCGACGTCAGAAGCTTTCATGACGTGGACCCCCAGCAGTCTGGACCCATCCCCTGGGACTGGTCTCTCATGCCGAGCAGGTTTTGGACGGCCACGGGGCCGAGAAGGGCCCCCAGAGGCCAGAAATAGCGAAAGATCTCCCGCCAGAACCTTCTCTTGACCCGAGGCGGTCTGGGAAGGGAGGTGGGTCCCGTGCCGATCCATGGGGAAGCGGGGCGGACCTCCGAGCGGTGATGTGTTGGTGCAGCTCTCCCCTCTTCGGCACCATCTGGCCCGCTACCGCAGCAGGCGCGCCCGCAGCTGGCCACCGCGAGCTCCACCATGCCGCGTTCATGCCACCGCAGAAGGCCCGGCGACTACACAATCATTGTGGTTACGCGGGGGTGTGGCTTGCCATCGCCGCCGTTCAAGCAGTGGCGAAGCGAACCCCAAATGATCCAAGACTTTCATGTGGTTCTCACGACAGGATGCTAGAACATTTCTGGCTGAGACCTTCTTGTTTCAATTCTCTGGCTTCGTGTTGCGAGACCATTGCTTTTGTTCCTGGAAGATTGTTTGCGTTTGCTCGTTGCAGGCGGAAAGGGATGCCAGGACTGCCAGTCCCTGCTTTAGCCGTTTGGGTTTAGGGGTCCACGCGTTGCGCCCAGAGTTTGATGAGCCTTCGTCGGGGCGCGGCAGGGATCTCCGTCGAGGTCCTCGCCCACCGTCCCAGTCACGGGTTGCAAGCCACCCCCTTTGCAGACCACACCCGTCGAAGTCGCTGAGAGGTGGATGCTGCATGGCCAGTCGAGACAAAGGCGGGCTCCCCGGGGTTCGAGGTTCGAGGTTTCAGCTGTCTTCGTTGGCCTTCGGTGTTTTCCAGCCTCGGGGTGCCCTTTCCAGCCTCACGGGCTGCAGAGCCACACCCTCCGCAGACCACACACTCTTCGGGGTCGCCGAGAGGTGCACGGCTTCGACCTGCAGCTCGTCGCGGGGCCCCTCGTCGACGCCCTGGGTCACGCCGCGGCGACCAGGCTCGAGGAAGAAGAAGAAGAAGACGAATAATCATAGTAAGCAAAAGAAAAGGAATAACGACATACGCAGAGTAAGGAACGTCATGATAATACGAAGCGACAGAACCGATCATTGTGAGAACATGTGGCGCCAGGATCCCGAGGGCCGTCGGAGATCTGGGCCTGGTTCGAGAAGGAGGCACATACATCGATAAACCTAATAATCAACACTTCGGAACTCCGCGCCGATGCCTTGGTGCGGCGCTGGCCCCCCCCCTGGCGACGCCTCTGGCGACAGGAGGAACAAACATCGAATATCGATAAACCGAATCAACACTTCGGAACTCCGCGCCGATGCCTTGGTGCGGCGCTGGGCCCCCCCCCCCTGGCGACGCCTCTGGCGACGCCCCCTGGCGCGCTCCGCGCGCCAGGGAGGAGGGCCCAGCGCCGATCCACGCAGTCCGCGCGGACCTCCGGAGGTTTATCTGCTCGCGCGGGCGTTTTTTTGCCTCCGGACTCCAGAGGTGGGAGGACATGCCCGGCCCTGCCAAGCTCCTGCCGCGGAGCGGCAGCGCCGCGGAGGCGCCGCGCGCCTGCCTGGGCGTGCAGCTCCTGGCCCCTGCCCCGCGCCAAGGCTGGCCGCCGAGGGGCCGTGGTGCCACGGGCGCCGGGGGCGCGCCGCCGATGGCCCGGCAGAGCGCCGCCGGGCAGCCCTCCGCCGCTGCACCGACCTCGCGGGCGGGCTGGCCCCAGATCGCGGCGCCTTCCCCTTCGGAGGCCGAAGGCGGGCACGGCGAGGAAGCCGCGAGCGAGAAGGCGGCCAGGGATAACGCCAACTGGTGGCCATCTGACACCGGCTCCATGGGGGGCAATCTGCGGGCGCTGCAGAGCGAGGACCCCCAGTGCGTGCTGCTTGCCCGCCGGTGCAACGCGCTGGGCTTCCAGTCGGAGGAGGCGCTGACGTCGCACTGCTCGAAGTTCGGGCGGGTCAGGAGGGTGCTGGTCGCCCACTCCAAGGTGAAGGCCCGAGGCGCTGGCTCGGCAGCGTGCCCGGCGATCCAGAGGCTCCGGCCTGGCAGCATCGCGTTCATCGCCATGGCGGACGCCGAGAGCGCCGAGCGCATCCTGAGGGAGGGCGGCGAGCAGACCGTGGCTGGGGCGCGCATCAGCCTGGAGCCGTTCCGGGTGCGGCCCCCGGGGTCGCCCAGCGCGGGCCCGAGCGAGCGTGGCGCTGGGCCGGCTGCGGGTTGCCACGAGCAAGGACATCGAGGGCCAGAAGACGGCACAAGCACGCGCGCGTCTCATGGGGAGGCTGGCCCTGACCAGGGTCGGCCGGAGGGGCTGGCCAGGAGGGTTGGCTTGGTTCTGCCAGGAGGAGATCCGATGTCGTGTTGTTTCAATGCGGGGTCCCCGGAAGTCTCGACCCATTCCCCAGGACCAGTTCTTCATCCCGAGTCGTTTTTGTTGACGGTCCCGGGGCCCGGCGAGGGCCACCAGGCTGGTGAAAAAACTTGCCGTCCTGATTTTGTAACGATGCGAGCATGTTTGGGCATTGCTTCCATGGGCCGCTCTTTCCGCTCCATACAGTCGACCCGCAGGGTAAGGATAGGCATCCCTCCCAAGGGTGCCCTTGCATCCTTGCCTCCTGGGTCCATCCTTGGCCACTTTCGGTGGCCGCGCCCCGCTCGAAAGGCTTTGAAATGGGCGTCCAAGGGCCTTGCATCCTTATCGTGGGGTGATGTCTCCACTGCGGTGACAGTTGCTCAGGGGGCCGCCAACCTTTCTGTACAAGTTGCACGGCAGGCACGGGGGAGGATTTGCCCTCCCCGACCGTATGCCCTGCGGCGGCGATGGACTGTTTTTATCTTGCTCTGGCCACGGGGCGGTCGCCCGTCGTGTGGCCAGTGCCTCCTAGCCCATGGGGCTGCTGGAGGTATTTTTTCGGCCAGTGAGGTACCCCTCACTGCCAGCAGCGGTTTCCCAGCCGCCGCTGCTGTGCTCACCAAGGTTGTGCGGGCGTTGAGCTCAAAACAAAAACTGCGGGGTGACTGTGCAGCAGATCCCGGCGGCCCGCCCTGGACTCCACAGGTCGGCTCTGGATCCGTCCTCCTCTCGCGCGCCCGGGGCGTTCGCTCCGTGCGGGTTCCTGCCAGCGTTGAGTCGGGCCTGTCCTTCTACAGGGGGAATATTCAAAAATAGAAAAAAAAGAGTGTGGGGACTATGTTTTAGTATTTGGGGGCATATTCTGAGCATTTTTTTTTTTTTTTTTTTTTTTTTTTAAAAAAAAAAAAAAGTTTCGTCCAAAATCGGCCTGTAGGGGGACAGTCCCGACCTAATGCCAGCGGGACAACAAGATGGGTCGTTCCAGAAAGGGCCTCGCCCTCCTAGAGACACAGCGTATTGAAAAGATCAAGACGGCGGTTTTTCACCGTTTTCGGCTTCTAGAGGCCTTCGGTGGGCCTCGAGGCCGTCGAAAAACGACGCAGGACGACAAGCCGGTCCTGGGGAGTGGGTCGAGACTTCCGGGGACCCCGCGTTGAAGAAATCACGACGTCGGATCTCTGGCTTCGAGGAATTCACGGAGTTGGAATCTCTTTCCGGCAGAAGGCGGCGCCAGCGGGGGGCGGCGGAAGTGAAACGAGGGCGCCTCCGCTGGCGGAAGGCGGCGGAAGGCTGGCGGAAGCTGGCGGGGGCAGGAGATGGTGCCCCCCCCAAGAGATGGCAGCATCTTGGGGCCCAGGGTCGTCGGAGCCCGCCAGGCACGTGGCTGGGCGGGTCACGAGTGGGCCCAAAGGAGCACGGAAACGCGTCTCCTCCTCCCCCCCTCCCCCCCGTTAGTCGCCCCCCCCCCACCCACCCCCGTGAAGCAACGCCCAGACAGGGGGGGCGCGGGGGGCCCGGCGCGCCGACCAGTGCACGCCGCGCGGGAGCCCGAGAGGCCACGGCCAGGGGGCTTTGGGCTCGGCAGGTCGTGCCGCCGGTCCTGGGCCACCAACTCTGCTCGTCGCGGCACGCCGTGCACCTCCCCAGCCCTGGGGCGGCAGCGTAGGTTCTCCCGGCTTCCCGCTCCGCGGGGCGGAGCGCCTCGCCGCCCACCTGCAAGGCACAGCGCGTCGTCGGGGTCGCCGCCGCGACACGCCGTGCCCGAGTTCTTTGTTCCCGTCCGTACGCTCCTGTACGTTTTCCGGTCGATCAAATCTTGTTTTCGTGCGCGGCCCTATGGATGCCCCGACGTGCAGATCCCCGGCGGGCGCTCCAGTGGGCGCACCGTTTCCTCCTGTAGCCGGGCCGAAATTTCTGCTGGAGCAATCTATCGTGCACATGTACGCAGGCTGCCCTTACCCCAGGACCCTCAAATCGGGATTCATTTCAAATCTTCATACTCGTCGGTGACCCGTGAGACTGTTCAGTGAGCCTCCTTCTTGATAGAGGCCTCGATCTTCGGGAGATAGGGCAGATAGGGGAGCTATGCATCCATGCTATTGTCCTCAGCAGCACCGAAATCACGAGAAGGACATGAAGAAGCTGAGCACGACAGAGAGGAAACTCCGCCAGCTCCACATTCACCTGGTCGCAGGTCGTCTGAATGCCCAGGCGAAACGCCTCTGAATCCGTTACGTGGCAGTGACGCTTCTCTGCCATGGTCCAGTCCTTCTCCAACTCGCTGTTCGGTGATTTAAACTCCTCCTGGTCGCTCCATGGCGGCTTTTTGAACGACCCCCGCCAACTGCAGCCCTCCGGAGCCGGCATCACATCGCCCTTGAACCTTGATGCCACTTGTCGCTCCTGTAGCCCCAGTCAGTAATTACCTCCATGGTACTTGCCACGCGCCACTGGGACGCTGATGTCTGAGTCTCGCCAGCACTGGTCGCCAAGCCCTCGAGGAAGCGGCGTGACGTCAGTTCGTTGAGAGAGGTGCCGAACTTGACCATGAATTCTGAGAGTCCGTAGGAATAGGGCGGCGGCAGCAGCAAGCACAGCAGGTTCCTCAACTAGTTGGTAACTTCCCAGCAACAGAGGCCCTTGTCAGGTCAGCAGCTTCAGCCTGGTCTCTAGTGAGTAGTATGTCAGCTAACTGCAAGGTCGTCGGAATACGGCGGACCACTTCCCCCAGACGTTTCAACTTTTCCTTCGTCGTAATCATCAGATCCACTGCCGCCATCTTGTCAGCCACAGACCCAGCACTAGTACATAACACCATCGAGTCGCAAAGTGACTTATAATCGGTGACCGCAGTTGGGCCCAAACGACCGAGGAACTCAGAGCGTGCCTTCAGAGTAAACTTGGGGTTCAAGGCCTCCAGAAAGATGCACGCTAACCATTCCGAGTGACCCAGCGCGTCCATCTGGACCTGAGCCTCAGCAGCCAAACTATAGACGCCGAATCTCGTCGCAAACGATGACTCCACCAACACGTAGGACTCTATGGAGCAAGCTCGTTCCGAGCAGTTGTGTCGTCGGTCGCAGAAAAATATACCCAGCCAGAGTACCCGAGTTAACAGCATTTTGATCGGAAGCATGCGCATGAACTACCAGTCGTATTTACTTTACGGGAATGTGTCGAACTCGCCATCGTCCGTCACGAAATTGCGTTGCGCTTCGCATTAGATTGTTTACATGACGGATTTGACCAACAGTTGATTAGGGACAAATTGTCGGACCATCGAGATTTGGACGGCGATATCTGGACGTGTCTCTCTCGCTAGCCAGTTCCCAGCACCCAACGTAGTTCGCACATTCGAGATCTCCTTTGCGGACGCCGGGGTCTCAGGAGAACATCGGGGTCACACTAGCAGGTATCATCGCACCTGCAAAGCACCTGCGGATGTATCGCAACGTCGAAAATATCCGGGTCCTGCCACAAAGACGCGCCGCAAAACTCCCAATGGCCAACACACCACTTCCGCATGGGGAACGTAGATCGACGATGACGGACTGCTTACTGATATGTTTCACCTGATCTTCCAGAAACAGTCTCATCAACATGCGGCGCGATAATACCGCATAGCGTTTTCGTACAAGTGAAACATACGCGGGTCACTCTTGGACTGTACCCAGCCCGACTCGGCCGTGTCCGGGCGCCTCTGCAACAAAGTGTCGCGAAACGTACGCCATCACATCGCAGGCGCATCGTTCAGGCCGTAGATGGGCTTCACCACCTCCAGAATCTGGTCGGAAGCAAGACTTGACAGCCTGCAGCCAGGCTGACGACGGTAGATCTTGCCCGCGGGTCTCGTCAGCTCGTCGGCCTCCACGAAAGCGCAGGTGACGTCGGCGATGCTCGTCCTGAACTTGCTGTAAGCCACAAGCTGATATTCGACCACTTTACCTTTGTGAGACAATCTTGGGAATTGCGTCTCTCGTTCTCGCCCCAGCTGCAGTAGATCAGGGTCTGAGAAGCCCCTGGCCGCACAGCGATCACCTCCTGGCTGTTGTCGTCGATCTTTCCGGTCATCACCATACGACTTCCCAGGATACGATCAGGAGACTCTCGACGAATCCCTGCGGACTCCTCGGGTCGAACGGGCAGCCGCGCCTGCTTGCTCGTGCACGCGTTGCCCCGCTTCTGGCCTGAGCCATGGGCCATAGCCTTCCGGGCTTGCGCAGTAAGTACACTTCGGATGCTTCAGGCTGACCTCCCTCCGACTTCTTGCCATGGGGACATCAGCGGCAGCGGCATCATCGCACTGGCCAGTGTAGAAAATGCACAGCTCCTCGTCATCGGGGACCTCAGCACGTACCGCACACTCCTCTGATGCGTCAGTCCCTGGACGAGGTCGTAGAACAGACACTAGATCTCGAAGGCTGTCTTGACCCCCTTCCGCCTCGCGTTCCGCAGCAGCTGAAGGTAGCGGTAGGCTTTGGGGATACATCTGGTCACATCGTAACTGACCCTTCGACGTGGCACCCGCACTCGAACTTGGCTTATGTTTAGCAACCGCCGCCTCCTCATCATGCACCTGTTCTTGAATTTGCTCCGGTGGTGAGTCCTTGATGGGGGCGGGCTCAGCTGTCAATTGCACTTGATCGCCCGCAGCAGTCGTTCTCGAACCCTTGCTTGGAGGTAGGTCGCCGCCTGTGATGTCCAGGAAGCCTCGCTGAGGTCAGCTCCAGACATGACCTCCCGAGCTAGAGAGCTAGAGATTGCAGTTCAGGTCGAACCACCTCCTCAGCCAGCTCCTCCTCTGCCGTCGCGTATCGCAATTGTTCTGGAGCGGCTTTCAGCATCAGCCCAGGCATCGCCGCCAAGTAGTTGCCACGC